TCCGGGAGGCGCCCGGGCGGCGGGCAGAACCTCCGCGTCTGTGGGGCCGCCTGCACCCCCAGCCGCGGTGGGCACGGCCTGTCCGCACGCCGCGTTCGCGGTGGCCAGGGAGTCCGGGGTCCGCCCCTGGGAGTCCGGGGTCCGCCCCTGGGAGTCCGGGGTCCGCCCCGGAGGCGGACTCGGGTCACCAGCGCCCTCCTCCGCGGGCTCGAACCTGAACCCCGAGGCGCGAGGCTGTCCGTTACCTCCCGGCGCCTCGCGGGGCCGAACGCTGGGACCTCGGTTCCTGACCGCGGAGGTGGGCTTGTTCTCTTCGGGCCTCGATTTTCCGGCGCCCGGTCGGGTGGGTGCCTTCGGGCCGTCCGGTGAACCTGACCACGGAAACGTAGTGTCCCGGTGACAGTGACGGTTTGGGAAATGCCAGTATTTCAGCGCAGACCGTAGGAGCTGTACCGACGGTGAGTGCCGGGCAACCCGTTTTCATGGAGCCCCACGCAGGGGTCATTGAGGCCCGATGGACTATCGTTTAGTTTGTACCCTTTCCCAAAATGTTGTAAAGAGAATCGTTGCTAATTTTAAGTCCATACCATATATTTTTTAAATTTAATAAATATTGCTCAGATTATTACAATTGTTCCCCCTCCTTCCCCCCACCCCCCAGCTCCCCTCCACCCGGTTCCCACTCCACCCTCTGCCCTTACCTCCCCCCGCTTCACTGTCCTCATCCATAGGTGTATGATTTTTGTCCAGGCTCTTCCCGTACTCCCCACACCCCTTTCTCCCTGAGACTTACAATCCACTCCCTTTCTTTGCCCCTGATTCTATTCACCAGTTTATTCTGTTCCTTAGATTTTTAATTCACTTGATTTTTAGATTCGCTTGATGATATGTATTTGTTGTTCATAATTTTTTAAAAAATATTTTTGTCCATTTTTTAAAATATATTGATTTTTTTTATAGGAGGAGAGAGGGATAGAGAGCTAGAAATGTGGATGAGAGAGAAACATCAACCAGCTGCCTCTTGCACACCCCCTACCGGGGATGTGCCCGCAACCAATGTACATGCCCCTGACCGGAATTGAACCTAGGACCTTTCAGTCCGCAGACTGACGCTCTATCCACTGAGCCAAACCGGTCTCAGCTGTTGTTCATAATTTTTACCTTTATGTTTTTCTTCTCTTCTTAAAGAACATGTTTCAGTATTTCATATAATACTGGTTAGGCAATGATGAACTCCTTTAGCTTTTTCTTATCTGTGAAGCTCTTTATCTGACCTTCAATTTTGAATGATAGCTTTGCTGGGTAGAGTAATCGTGGTTGTAGGTTCTTGCTATTCCACTCTGGCCTGCATAGTTTCTGTTGAGAAATCAGCTGACAATCTATGGGTGCTCCCTTGTAGGTAACTAACTGTTTTTCTTTTGCTGCTTGTAAGATTATCTCTGTCTTTTGCCCTTGGCATTTTAATTATGATGTGTCTTGGTGCGGTCCTCTTTGGATTCCTTTTGTTTGGGGTTCTGTACGCTTCTAGGACTTGTAAGTCTATTTCTTTCACCAGGTAGGGGAAATTTTCTGTCATTTCTTCACATAGGTTTTCAGTATCTTGCTCTCTCTATTCTTCTGGCACCCCCATAATTCAGATGTTGGTATGCTGGAAGTTTCCCAGAGGCTTCTTACACTATCTTCAACTTTTTGGATTCTTTCTTCTTTTCAGGTTGAGGTTTTTTTTTTGTTTGTTTGTTTTGCTTCTTTATATTTCAAATCTTTGACTTGATTTTTGCATTCCTCTAATCTGCTGTTGAGTCTCTATATATACAATATTTTTTATTTCAGTCACTGTATGTTTAATTTCTAGTTGGTCCTTTTTCATATCCTCAAGGGTCTCGCTAAATTTATCGGCCTTTACTAGGAAATTCTTGAAAAACCTTATAATCTTGGTTTTGAACTCTATATCCAGTCGTTTGTTTTCTTCCATTTTTTTTTCATTTGTGATCCTCATTTTCACTCCTTGCCTCATTTTCACTGCTACCCTGAGTTAGTAGGATGGCTTTGTGTGCTAGGTATCGTATATGGTCCAATGGGTCAGCCTCCCAGTTCCCTGAGGTGGACACTCTTGGTGCACCCATTTGTGGACTGTGTGTACAACCCTGTTGTAGTTAAGTCTTGATTGTTGTTGGTGTCACTGGGGAGAATTGACCTCCAGGCCAATTGGCTGTGAGGACCTGCTGTGTCTATAACGGAAGAATTGCTGTGCTGCAGACATACCTTTGGGGCAGGATTTGTTTCAGTGGAGCTTTGGTGCTCACTGAGTCTGCCTCTTAAATGTGTCATTTATGGATGTGAGTTGAAATCTGGTGTCATCTCACAGAGACCATGAGATACACTAGCTTCTGGATCTCCAATGGGGTGCGGGTCAGCTACTTTCTGAGGCCACCCAGCAGGAGCTACAGCAAGAACTACAGTTTTTTCCTCTTTGCTTGTGGTTTGGAGGTTTTGGAGCTGTCTGGCTGGAGCTGTAGTTTATTTGGTTAAGCTGCGGCCTGGAGCTTGGGTGTGTTTGTAGATTGTGTAAGGCATGGTCTCAGGGAGTCACTAAGCTAGAGTTTGGCAAACAGCAAACTAATGAAAGAGAAACACCACATGACCTCACTCATTTATGGATAATAAAGAACATTATAAACTGATGAACCAAAGCAACAAACAGACTGTCAAATTACAGTGGGGAGGGGAGGGAGATCTGGGGGAGATAATAGATCAACCGAAGGACTTGTATACATGCATATAAGTACAACCAATGGACATAAAACTCTGGGGAGGGAGGGTATGTAGGGGAGAGAGGGAGGGGGGCAAAAAAAATCAATAAAATATTATTAAAAAAAAAAAAAGTCACCCTCACTTTCTGACCCGATGGCAGACAGTCCAGCTTCCCCCCATAGGAGTTTAGGTCCCCTGCTTCTCCCCAGAAACTGGATTTCAGAGTAATCGGGAGCTTGTCTCCCTTTGGGTTGAAAAAAAGCAGCACATCCAGTCACCCACCACCCAGCCCAGTTCACATGCCTCTGTACCTCAGTTTTTCAGCGCTTGTGCACATCTCAATGCTCTTTTCTCTTTCCTTCTAGTTGTAGAACTTCCACTCAGTCAACTTTCCTGTGGTTCTGGGTGATAGACATTTTTTCTTTTAATTGTTTTAAAATTGTTGTGTGAGGCAGCAGTTTAGGTGTTTCTCTATGCCGCCATCTTGGTTTGTCCCATACCTTATTTTTATTATTTTCTAATATAAGTTGTAATCTCATTTTGAGGTAAATATTATCTAAAGGATTGCTTAGTGGGTGGGATTGTTCAATAATTTTTCCATTAAGCTAAATCCTGAGCGCTTAAATCCTTAAGATAATGGTATTGTTGGATATTATCAACCCATATTTAAACTTGAAGATTCCCAGGTACTGAGCTATGCACCTCCTGTCATGAACTGTGACCACTTGGGAGGCACATGTTTAAAACTATTGGGGACTACATAAACCATATGAATGAAGATAAGGGGGTAGTATGGTGAGGGGAGGAGTGGAGGAAAAGAGGATTGTGGGAAACTAGCTCAGGGAAAAGAAGTAACTTTTCTGCTTACATATCAAAGAGCAGGACCACTGCACAATTATTTTTAAAATATATTTTTATTAATTTAAGAGAGGAAGGGAGAGGTAGAAAGAGATAGAAACATCAATGATGAGAGAGAATCATTGATTGGCTGCCTCTTGCACCCCCTACCTCCTATTGGAGATCAGCAGCAACCTGGGCATGTGCCCTTGATGGGAATCAATCCCTTCAGTCCACAGATGGATGCTCTATCCACTGAGCCAAACCAGGTAGGGCCCACTGCACAATATTAAATTTCCTGACTCCAAACTCCTTCATTGGTTAAACAGTCTTTGAATTATACTTGTCAGATCCTACTTTAGGCACTGGATATATAAAGGTGAGCTAGCTATCAGGAGTTCTCAGTCTGGTAAGGAGACAGAAAGACAGGGAAATGTTAGCTATGAAAAACAAGTATTTCAAAGAAGTATTTAATCATTGATTTTGGGATTTAGACCTAGTTCATATAATCATGGGGTTGGGAAATAGCATATACTTCTAATGCATGAATTCCCTACAGCATCCCACTATTTACTCATTGCTCCTAATCTTAGAAAGTAGCCCAGTCCATTTTTGAGCACTCTTAATGTTAAACGTTAAATTCAGAGTGGCTTTCTTATGCACTCCATCTTTAAATGTAAGTTCTACCTCTGGAACTACAAGTAACAGCTCTAAAATCTTTTCCCATATTAGTTCTAAGTATCTGAATGCATTCTTTCCTTTGTCATTACTTTTCCTACCGTGTTTCCCGGAAAATAAGACATCCTCCGAAAATAAGACCTAGCGCATGGAAAGATAAGACATCCCATGAAGATAAGACCTAGTGCAACTTTGGGAGAAAAAATTAATATAAGACACTCTTATTTTCGGGGAAACAGGGTAGATGTGGGCCTGTTCTATATATCCTAAATCATGATTTACATTTTAGACTCTTCACCACAGCACTCAGAACCAACTGCTTCAATGGAGTGTGCTATGAAACCATTTGCTTTTAAAATTGAAGAAACTTACAAAATACTTAATTTCAAAGTTGTTCTTAACCAAGTAACAAAGTGATAAAGGAAAAAACAACCCCACTCTTTTATTTCAGCCCTTGGCTTTTTGTAATACAGGGTGAATTATCTTACAAAAAATAATAGTAACCTATTTTCAGATCATTGGCCCATCATTGGCCCATTGTTTCTAAAACCCCATTATAATTTTGCTGGGTTATTTTTTGGTGGGTTTTTTGGGGTCATGTTTCTCTTGATATGTTACCCAAACTTCTCAGTTTGGAAAAACTATACATTACTATATAAAAATAAAAAAATTTCAAAATTACTCTTTAGTCTGATGGTTACATTTTTCTTCTTTTCAGATATATATTTGCCATTATGGATCATTTCAGAGATCTATCAGAAGATGAAGTGGACCATTCTTTCTTTGACAGTGACTTTGAAGAATCAAAGAAAAGTGAAAGTAATTCAGTTTTTGACAAGCAAAATGATTGCCCTAAAGAGAAAATAGACAAAGATACAGTAAATGTAAATTCGAAATGTGGAATGCAGAGAAAAGAAAATGATCTTGCTGAGAAAGGAAATGAAAGGAAAGAGAAAATTCCTTCAGAAGAACACCCTATAGAAAATGATAATACACAAACCAGAAATTCTTTATCATTGACCACTTCTTCAAGATCAGAAAAATTGTGTGATGCTACAACAGGACATAAAATACACTTGACCATTCCAAATAGAATTCCCAAAATGGTAAAAGAAGGTGAAAATGATTATTATACAGATGAAGAGGAAAGCAGTGATGATGGGAAAAAACATTATGTCAGGTCCAAGTCAGCTAAACCATCTACTAACATCAAAAAAGGCATAAGTAAAAAGTATTCCAGAAGTAGTTCCTCTTCCTCTTTGTCCTCCTCATCTTCAAGTTCAGGTGCAGATTGTTCAGCTGCAGAGTCTGATAATTGTACACCTGATTCATCTCCATCATTAAAGAAACATCTCTCTGGTGTAACCCACTTGTCACCAAAACAGAAATATAAACCAGGAATAAAATCAGCAGGAACACAGCCTACAAGTACTAAATCCAAAGTCGGTGACTTCACTGAGGAATCTGAAGATACTGTGACAGATGTCACTCCTTTGTCGACCCCAGACATCAGCCCGGTTCAGTCTTTTGAACTGAGGACATCAAGCAATAAAAAAGTAAAAGTTAAAAGGCAAGAAAATGTGAGTCAAGAAGTGTATAAAAATGTTGAGGATTTAAAAAATAATTTGAAATCAGCCAAAAAAGGGAAAGACAAACATGGAGTAGATCTCACCTCGAAGTCTTCAGTGTTAGATTCCAATTTAGACCGCAGACATAAACAAAAAGCCATACATGACACAATGGACCTGAATCATCTCTTGAAAGGTAAATTTTTTTCAAAACTACATAATGAATTTAATCATTAAAGGTATATTGAGCTTAAGTATTAAATACTATGAATTTGCATTGATTTTTCTAGTAGATTTCTTTGTGATAACTGATATTATCATAACTTTATTAAATATTCCGCAAAAGTTTTTATTTTCCCACATATAACTAAACTACAAGCGTGTAAGTTGGAGATGTGTACATGGCTATGCCTTTTCTACATTGATTTCTTAGTACACTTTATCACTTTCAACTACTACTATATGGCTTTTTCTAGGCCTATTTGTTCTTACCTGATTTCTTCACAGTCTTTTCCACTTCCTTGGAAGATAAATTCACTTACAGTGTTTCCCAAACTTCTCTCATGATGAGAATCACCTGGTGGAGTTGTTAAACTACAGATTCCTGAATCCCACCTAAGAAGTGCTAAACTAGAATTTTTGGGAACGTATAGGTAAAATTGTATACTTAACTAGTTTGGGAAACACTGAGTCTTAACATAAGGAAGATGATAGTTATAATGCTTAACACTTTAATAATTGTGAGCATGAAATGGGATCCTGTCGGAACAGCTGAGATAGAAACAGGGCATACTCTACATTCTCAGTTTAAACATTTTCACTGGCTAAGTACAAAGATACATTAAAAGAGTTTGTTGATTCAGGTAGTGAATTTTGAGTAAAAAATTTTCAAGCCGTTACAGCAAACATTGGGTGAGAGTTTAGATAGTGAGGGATGCCTGTGGGTAACAGTGTTAATGTTATTTATTGGTTTAAAATAACTTCTGTTAACAAGTTTAATAAGTTTGTAAATTTGAACTATGAAATAAGCATATGAAACAAAGATTAATAAAAGAATATAAAATCAGGCATCCCAATCATAGGCCATGAAATATGAAACAGTGTTGAATTTGGGTACTTAACATAGTGAAGTGAAGACAATTCTGGAAGTGAAATAAAAATTTTAGGCTTCTGAGTGTCATTCTCTTGACTCTACACCCGTGGTCAGCAAACTGTGGCTCTTTGACCCCTTGAGTGTGCCTCTTCCACAAAATACCGTGGCCTGGGCGAGTCTATTTTGAAGTGGAGTTAGAAGTTGTTTAAATTTTAAAAATTTGGCTCTCAAAAGAAATTTCAATCATTGTCCTATTGATATTTGGCTCTGTTGACTAATGAGGTTGCTGACCACTGCCCTAGACCAGCAGTAACTATTCTGTGCCCCATTCTTTTCATTTGTAAGGTGAGGTGTTGATATAAGTTGCTAAAGCCTATTCTAAATTGAGATTTTTGGGTTCTGTGAAAAATATTAGAAGGGAAATCCTAGATCAGTGGTCAGCAAACTCATTAATCAACAGTCAAATATCAACAGTACAATGATTGAAATTTCTTTTGAGAGCCAATTTTTAAAAAATATATATTTTATTGATTTTTCACATAGAGGAAGAGAGAGGGATAGAGACATCGATGAGAAACATCGATGAGAGAGAATCATCGATCAGCTGCCTCTTGCACACCCCCTACTGGGGATGTGCCCACAACCAAGGTACATGCCCTTGCCCGGAATCGAACCTGGGACCTTTCAGTCCGCAGGCCGACGCTCTATCCACTGAGCCAAATTTTTTAAACTTAAATTTGTTCTAATGCTATTTTTTCAAAATAGACTCGTCCAGGCCGTGGTATTTTGTGGAAGAGCCACACTCAAGAGGCCAAAGAGCCGCACGTGGTTCATGAGCCACAGTTAGCCCACCACAGCCCTAGATAATTTGGCTCAATGGATAGAGTGTCGTGTCAGCCCTAGCGTTGGCCTGCGACTAAAGGATTGAGGCTTTGATTCCAGTTAAGGGCATATACCTTGGTTGCAGGCTCAATCCCTGGCCCTGGTTGGGGCGTGTGTCGGTGGCAACCATTGATATTTCTCTGTCTCCCCCTCCCCCCTTTGCACTTTATAAAAATCAATGGGAAAATATCCTTGGGTGAGGATTAACAAAAAAATCAAACACAAACAAATATATATAGTATATATATTAAAAGGGAAGTTCAATGTAGATTAGCATTATTAGATATCTAACATTAAAGTAAACCTTGAAATTTTTTATTAGAATTTCTGAGTATTTAGCCTCTTTTCAGTCAATTGGGTGGCTGATTTGGGAGACTTCCCACCCCTGCCCCAAGCCAGCCTTTGCTATGTACAAAGCAAAAAAGGGTGTGATTGGAATTAGTTTTTTGACCTTCAGCTGTAAATCCCTTCTAGGCAGAAAGAGCATTAAAAGATAAGAGTAGTAGAATATGCAGAAGTTTAGACATGAATCTTGGGTTATGGCATGAATCTTGCATATTTAAAGAACAGTGAAGAAGTTGGCATGACTAGATTAGAAGGTATGTTTCAAATACTTGGTATAGGTAAAATTGGGTCAGTTTAGGAAGAATCTGTAAGGTAAAATAGAGACAATTTAGGAATGCTCCACAAATTTTACTGCATAGATTCTGTATGAAATAATTAGGTATATTATTAGATGATGTATTCTAAGAAGAAAAATTACTACAAGAGAAAGAAATGGGATTAAGGAAGCATTGAACAAAGAAACTGGTTAAACTTACTGTTAAACTGATAACAACATAGGAGGGAATGAAGCAAACTGCTTATTTAAGGGGAAGATATGGACCCTGTTCTACTCCATAAGGAAGATGATGCCTATACAGTAGTCCCCTCCCCTCGGAATACATTCCAAGACACCATGTAGATGCCTGAAACGGGATTGTACTGAACCCTACACATACTGTGTTATTTCCTTGTATGTACAGACCTTTGATAACGTTTAATATATAATTAGGCATAGTATTAGATTAACAACAACAATAATAGAACACATACATTGATAAAAAGTAATGTGAATGGCTTGAGGGTCATTATTAAGTAAAATAAGGGTTACTTGAACACAAGCACTGCACCACTGCCACAGTTGATCTGATAACCCAGTCAGCTATAAGTGACTAAGGGAGGGTGGTGGATACAGCATGGATATGCTGGACAAAGGGGTGATTCACATCCCAGGAGGGACAGCGGGAGGTGTCATTGTGCTACTCAGAATGGCACACAATATAAAACTCATGAATAGTTTATTTCTGGATTTTTCCATTTAATATTTTTGAGCCACAGTTTTCCACAGATAACTGAAAGGGAAGAAAGCAAAAATGTGGGTGGTTCTGTACTGCAATTAGCTACTAGCACATCCTCCCCGGCAACATGTTTTGTCCCTTTACTGGCAGGCTGCAGTGAACAGGATTCCAGTAGGTGAGGAGGAAATCTCAGATATCCTCAACACTCTACCAAGTGTTACTAAACATTTGAAGAAATCTAAAATCAAGAGAAGCACCAGACTCACAGTTGAAGAACATAATACTTGAAGCAGATTTACAGTGAAGCTTGGTGATTTTAGAGCGGCAAGGACAAAACTGTCTTCACTAATAATAACATGATTGCTTTTTATACTCTTCTGTCACATGTATATAGTGGAGTTTAGCACTAAAAGGGACAAACAATGCTTGACATGCTCAAAAAATTTAAGAGCCATTGATATGCATTCTGTGATAAGAACAAAACAACCCAATGATGAAATTGACAAATCCATAATCATTATGAAAGATTAATAGAGTAATTAGACACCCCACCCTCACTCCCACCCCCAAAAAAAGTAAACTGCCTGCTTGTTGACTATACTTGGTCTACAGGTATTTTGTTTATCATACCTTTTTTTTTAAGTGATGGCATATCAATGGCTATTCCTATATAATAAATTATCCCAATGCTTAGAGACTTAAAGGCAGGCACTAGATTCACCTGAGAGCTCTTCACTCACATGTCAGGTGGGGTTTGGGATGACATGAACAGGACTGCTGAGCAGAAGGCCCACATGTGCCCTCTGCGTTGCTTGGCTTACTCACAGATGGCAGCATCAGGGAAGTTGGATTTCTCACATGGTGGCTCAGAACTCCAAGTTCAGTGTTCCGGGAAACAAGATGGAAACCTCATCGCCTTTTATGACCTAGCCTCAGAAGTCACATAGCTCCATTTCTTCCATATTCTATTGATGTAAACAGTAAGAACCTTCCCAAATTTGAGAGGAAGAGCATAGACCCTCTTAAGAATGTCAAATACCTTATGGACATGTTTTAAAACCGCTTCAGTCCATTCCCTGACCATATAATTTTTACATATTTCTCCCAAACGCAAAAATACATTTCTCCTTTCGAAAGATTCCCCCAACCTCAAAATCCAGGGACTAAAACAGGTCCATGTGCAGTGCAATCTGCTCAGACATGGTTCCTCAGTTTCCTGTACCTCTGAGTCCTTTGAGAATCTTCTGCCAGGAAGGAGTAGGAAGGAAAAATTTATTTTGAATCTCATAAGTTCTGGCTCTGTTATATTCTCTCTAAATTTTGCTTGAAAACTGGTTCATTTTTTAGTCCATCTCTCTATCCTCTAATTATTGTGGATAAAATAAATCACTGATATTTTCAACATTCTGTGAGGAGATCTGTTTAGCCCTGTCCACCAATGGCAATAAGTACCTCGTCAAACAGCTAACATTATTCCTAAAATTCTACCATTTCATCCATTTCATCAGCAATCCCTTCTAGCTCTACTTGTCACCTGGTCTCAGCCAGTGCCGTCTAATGTAGATTCTTGTTAGAGTAGTACCCCAGTTCCTGGTACCAAATTTTGTATTAGTTACTGCTGCTCTGATAACAAATCACAGATGACTCAAAGACTAGGATCATAATGGCCGTCTAGGTGGTTTGATTTCCTCACAGCCTGGCAGCTGAGCTCAGGGCAGTCAGATATGTAGGGTGGCTCAGGTCCCAAGGACAAGTATTCTAACATCTAGGACACACTGGGCTGTATCACATTGGTCTGCATAGTCACAAGCCTGCCAGATTCAGAGGACCGGACTGGGAAATGTCCCCGAAGTTATCACCTGACAACTTGTTTACAAAGAAGACGAAGAAATTTAGTAAATTTTATTACTTCTTGAAATGTAACTTGTCAGTTTATAAGTTTGGATTTTTTTTAAAAACTTCATAAAAAATCACTTTAAAAAGCAAATATTTTTTTAATAGGGATCATGAATATGCCTACAGGATAGTTTTGTTTTTTTTTAAGAGCTATTATATGAATAAGATCTTAATATGGCTTGAGATAAAATTTTCAATGGTAACGTTATACAAAATTTATTTATTTATTTATTTAAATATATTTATTGATTTTGTACAGAGAGGAAGGGAGAGAGATAGAAACATCGATGAGAGAGAGTCATCGATCAGCTGCCTCTTGCACACTCCCTACTGGGGATATGCCCGCAACCAAGGTACATGCCCTTTTTCAGTCCCCAAGCCGACGCTCTATCCATTGAGCCAAACCAGTCCCGGCACGATATACAAAATTTCAAAATGCTCTGTATCTCAGCCTAGGTGAAAGTAAAGCTGATACTTCTAGTAAATGGTATTAGATCATTTAAGAAAAGGCTCTACTAATGATGATGGACACATATTTAAATACTGAAACAAGTTTGAACAAAACTTTTGTTGAAGCCCTAGCCATGTTTCCCAGTGGCATTGACGTTCAGACAGAAGGGTTGCAGGTTCGAGTCCCAGTCAAAGGCACATACCTTGGTTGCAGGCTCCAACTGGAGAGCGTTTGGGAGGCAACCGATCGATGTCTTTCTCTCACATTGATGTTTCTCTCTCATCAATGTTTCTCTCTTTCTCTCCCTCTCCTCCTCTTCTTTCCCTTTCACTCGCTAAACACATCAATGGAAAAATAACCTGGGGTAAGGATTTTTAAAAAATTGTTTCATTGAAGAAAATTAGAGAAAAACAATGATTCAAAAATATGTGAATATAAATATATATACATTTATATAAATATTTGTATCCCTGAAAGTTTATTCAAGTTACAAAAAGAGATCTTAATCGGAAAAACCAATGGAGCATATCAGGGGTGGGCAAAAGTAGGTCTACAGTTGTGAGTACATGATAGTATATTCTGGTATTATTACTTATTAATTGTATTATAACTATAAACTTACCTTTGCATTTAAAGTTGCTTCATACTTAAGCATATAGGCACTTTAGAAAAACATAATAGTGATACCTGGATTTACTATATAAGTACTTCATCCATATACTTTTCCATCAGAGTTAGAATGCTAATTTTAAAAATGTTAGATTAAGTGTTCTTTATATAATTAATTTATTTATAGCTATTGCCTTATTTTACTTTTTAAAACTTTTTTAAAATGCCATTAGGAAAAAGATTTACTTTTAATTTTGTTTAGAATTTAATTTTAAAGGCTTTCATATATGGCTAAATTAATCTAGAAACCTTATTAAATTTTACAAACTGAGCATTTCTTAGAAGCAAGATAATTATGTTCAGCCTATCTATATCTTTCAAAATGTGTTCTCATTCAGGTTTTGTCAGTTGGTTTTCAACAGATTACCAACAGTTAATTTCCTTGTTTTCTATCAGGAAATCACTGTTAATAAAATTTATTTTAAGTTTCTGTAATCTTTGATTATCTATGGTTAAATGTAGGGAGGGCGGTAGACATAGTTTTTGTGACATTGCTCAAATGTTTTAAATTTTCTGTACCAGTCACATTTTTAGATGAGGGTTAAAAATGCCTCTTCCTCTTATAGTAAATGCTAAGACAGTAAAAGATCTAACATAGGTACTCAAGTAAAAACGCTTAGGCTTTTCTCAGTTTAGGTTCTTACAAGGATATTTCTTAGATCACATGATCTCACACATCTAGGGGAAATGATGAACAACATAGACTGATGAACAAAAACAGACTCAGAGAAAGAGAATCATCAAACAGACTTTCAAACCTCAGAGGGAAAGTAGGGGAGGGTGGGGGTAAGGGGAAGAGATCAACCAAAGGACTCGTGTGCGTGCATATAAGCCTAACCAGTGGCCATGGACAACGGGGAGGGGCAGGGGAGGTGGGGGGCATATGTAGGGAGGGGTTTGGGATGGGATTGGGGGGATGAGGACAATTATGTGATACCATAATCAATATATATTTTATATATATATATATATAGTAAAAAAAAAAAATCATAATAAATGTGCCAGTATATTACTAATCTGATATAATGTATTCATTTTTAGTACTGACTTAAACTGAAACATTTAACAAGCTGAATAGTTTTAGAAACTTTTATGTGATAATTAGTTTGCAAAATATTTTTCTTGGTTACAAACTTTCTATACAATATATATATGGTGGCTTATGTTTAATCGGGAATGAAATGTTTGACTTCTACAGAAGTATTTGTTTTAATGCCAATACAAAATACTGTAGTAAAATATTTTCAGATTAAGTGGAAAATTTCAGAATATTCTACATTTGTTTTTGCCATTTTTCTACCCATTGTTTTCACCAGTCATTGCTGAAGACATTTTATTTTATTTATTTTTTAAAATATATTTTACTGATTTTTTACAGAGAGGAAGGGAGAGAGATAGAGAGTTAGAAACATCGACCAGCTGCCTCTTGCACACCCCCTACTGGGGATGTGCCCGCAACTCAGGTACATGCCCTTGACCGGAATCGAACCTGGGACCTTTCAGTCCGCAGACCAACACTCTACCACTGAGCCAAACCGGTTTCGGCAACATTTTATTTTTGAAGTATGCCTTCCAAGTAACAAAAACTCTCTAAGTATTATATTGGTACACTCAACCAGAGGTTTCCAACCTTCCTAACTATTAAGCTTCCTTGGGGAAACAAGATAAACCTGACGGGCATTTTCCATAAATTACACCTACCTTAAAACCAGCACCATGTACATTTCTTATTGTTTGGTATGTAGCTTTTATTCCCAAAGAACTCAGTAAGCATAAAATGCTAAGCTGCCTCTGGATTTTTTTTTCTACACAATTGTAGTGTGATGTCAATAACATTATTTCTTCTATATATATTAATGAATAAATGTAGTTTTAATTTTTTAAAATTAAAGCAAATACCATCATATTTCATGCTACTTTCTCTCGCCACTTTTCCTTCTGTTGTCCATTTCTGTAGCTTTTCTGGAACTGGATAAAAAGCGACCAGAGAAACATCACTTAGATCAGCCTTCAGCAGCACCTAGGAGGAACTACTCTTTCACAAGAGAGGAGGTGAGACAGATTGATCGGGAAAATCAGAGGCTTTTGAAAGAACTGTCAAGGCAGGCTGAAAAACCAGGAAACAAAAATATGATGCCTAGAAGATTTAATCATCCCCCTAAGTTATATCACAGTGCTGTCAACAGACAGAAAGAACAACAAAGGATTGAAAGAGAAAATTTGGTAAGTAAAAAAATTTTTAGTCATCAAGGAAATGTATTTGTATTGATTTGAAACCCAGTTTACTGGAAACCCAAAGACAAAAAAGTAGATTTAGATGTGTTTGTAAAAGTAGAAATACATGATGAACTATGGCCTATAAGGTACAGTGTGTACAATGTGTAGCTTTTTTCCCAGCAACCCATATTTTAAGGGAACCTTAAATGAAAATACTGAAACCTCCATTATCTATTTGACTAGATCTGTTAAATCACTACAATAATACAGGAAATTATGTCAAGGTTCGTCCTATATAATAAAAGCATAGTATGCAAATTTTCCCCTCAACTAGGAGGTCCTCCGGGAATTTGACCAGGCGGTGGGGCTGGCGAGGGGGAAGGGAGGGAGGCCCCGAGGCAGCAAGCTGGGGGGAGGGGGGAGGGGGGGAGTGGCAGCCACTAGGGACCCTACCAGGGCATGGATTACATGTACTGGGACTCTAGTATGTATATATTATCCATGAAGTATTTAGTCACTAGCTTAATCTATTTCACTTTACTGTATCCCTGAAAGCTAACAAATTTATATATCACTTATCTATAATAATAAAAGGGTAATATGCAAATTGACCAAAAGACTGAAGCAGAATCTGACGACTTTCTGGCCAGATGTATAGAGCTGGCCAGCAATTGCCCCACAGAGGGAGGCCCAAGCCAGCTAAGTGATTGTACCCAACACCTGTGCCCGAAGAGGGAGGCAATTGGTGGCAGGGATTGGGGATAGCACCATACAGATGGAGAGCAGTGGTGGGGGCAGGGGCCAGGGCAAGGCCAGCTGCTGGCAACCAGAAGAAGGAAATTCCCAATAGGCCCTGATCCCAGAGGGATCCCAGATTGCGAGAGGGCACAGGTGCCAGGCTGAGGGGCACATCCTTCCACACACCCCCACCCCCCAACCACTGGTCAAATTTTGTGCACTGGCCCTCTAGTTTTAAAGAACATATATGTTCTCAAAGAGGTCAAATTTAGTGGTCTGCTACTTGAATGTATGAAATGCAGTATTGTTAAAAAACATAGTTATACTTTGATGTTCTAAGGAATATATGTGAGGACTGTTGAAAATCTTCATATTAAAAACTCATAGCATATTATTTTCTTTTAAAATTCTGTTCATGCCGAAACCTGTTTGGCTCAGCGGTAGAGCGTTGGTCTGTGGACTGAAAGGTCTTGGGTTCGATTCCGGTCAAGGGCATGTACATTGGTTGCGGACACATCCCCGGTGGGGGGGGTACAAGAGGCAGCTGGTCCATGTTTCTCTCTCATCGACGTTTCTAGCTCTCTATCTCTCTCCCTTTCTCTCTGTAAAAAAATCAATAAAATATATTAAAAAATAAAAAATAAATAAAATTCTGTTTATAATAATTGCTGATATTTACTGAGCTCTTACTAAAAGCCAGGCATTGTTCTTTTTTAAAATAAATTTTTATTGATTTCAGAGAGAAAGAGAGAGAGAGACAGAAACATCAGTGCTGGAAGAGAATCATTGATTGGCTATCTCCTGCATGCCACACACAGAGCATGTGCCTTGACCAGAATCAAACTGACCTTGCGGTTCATAGGTCAACATTCAACCACTGAGACACACCAGCTGGGCCAGACATTGTTCTTAGTATCTTCCAGATATTAGCTTATTAAATCCTGACAATAATTCTTTCAAGTAAATAGTGTTTTTATCAGCATCTTACAATGAAATAACTGAGACTTGGAGGTATTAAATAATGAGTCCAAGGACACAGAGTAAGTGAATGAGCCAAGATTCTAAACCCAGGTAGTGTTTTAAACTAAAATTAAATCTTTTTTTTTTTTAATATATTTTATTGATTTTACCCAGAGAGGAATTGAGAGGGAGAGAGAGTTAGAAACGTCGATGAGAGAGAAACATCGACCAGCTGCCTCTTGCACACCCCCCACTGGGGATGTGCCCACAACCAAAGTACATGCCCTTGACCGGAATTGAACCTGGGACCTTTCAGTCCGCAGCCCGACGCTCTACCACTGAGCCAAACCGGTCCCGACTAAAATTAAATCTTTAATGAGCATATAAATTCAAACCTATAACAATTGATAAAGCTTTTATTAACAGTTACTAAAATAGTTTCCAAAATTCACCTTCATATTTCATCATCAGTACAGTCCTATTTTTCTTTGTACTTACCTGAATTGTAATACTAGTAGAGTCTTAAATCCTTCAGAAGAATTACTCTGATGTAGCAAGGAATAGATAGCAACAAAGCAGGTTGAAATGAGGTTGATGAATAGTAAGTTGGTGGTAGTTTTCTGCACATCATTATAGCAATTTGAAGCTAATTCTATATCTTCTAAAAACTTGTCAATTCCTTTGCATTTATCCTTAATAATGACTGATTATTTTTTTCATTAAAAAAAATTCCTAATATAAAAACCCTGGGTTATAACAACCAGTAACGACCAAAGGCTGACCAACCGGAAGTCAGTGCTGGTCCTACTCCCAAGCAAGCAGTAATGGGCAATCAGGCAGGCAGGCAGAGGGGTTAGGGGTGATCAGGTAGGCAGACTACCCCTTGCCAAGCAAGCGGTTAGGGGCAATCAGGTAGCAGGCAGAGGGGTTAGGGATGAATAGACCAGCAGTAAGGGGTGATCAGGTAGGTGGACCAATGGTTAGAGGTGATCAGATAGGCAGGCAAGTAGTTAGGAGAGATCAGGTAGGCAGGCCAGCAGTTAGGGGTGATCGGGTAGGCCCCGCCTCCAAGCAAGTGGATAGGGGCAATCAGGCAGGCAATATTTTTAAAATATATTTTATTGATTTTGTACAGAGAGGAAGGGAGAGAGATAGAGAATCAGAAACATCGATGAGAGAGAGTCATCGATCTGCTGCCTCTTGCACACCCCCCACTGGGGATATGCCCACAACCAAGGTACATGCCCTTGACCGGAATCGAACCCGGGACCCTTCAGTCCGCAGGCGGATGCTCTATCCACTGAGCCAAACCGGTTTCGGCAGATTGTTGACATTCTTAAAGTATTACCTTCTTATCCAGAAATATGGTATGTCTTCCCATTTATTCTGTGCACAGGGCTAAGCTATTATACTTTTAAATCTGCTTGCTAGGCTGTTCATAGTCAAAACACATGTACACGCACATTTTTATAGTTATTTCTGTGTCAAATACACTGCACAAGCAGCATCCATTACTTTATAATTTTTATTCCTTCATTTGCTCCCATCTCCAGTGATCAAAATTAGTTCATATGGCTGACAGGCGTGATGACTAAAGCAGTTCTGTTTCAGGACTTTATTTTCACTTGATAGCAACCCAGAAGCTACCAGTATTTAGACTAATACAGTTCAAGACAAAGAAATATACTGTGCAGAGAAAGTAGAAAAAGAGAACAAAAATATGGTATACAATTGAGTCCTGAGCTTATAGTTAAAAGCATACTATTAATCTGTCTTTCTGCGAATTTTGATTTCTTCGTTATTTGTTTATCACTATCTTACCTCCCTCATTAACAAGGGAAATAAAGGAATAATAAAGAAAAAGTAAATGTATCCAGTAGAGGGCGTGCTTGCTAAATAAAGACTCAATGACATTAGAACTTTATTATTTCCAAAAAGGAGACTCATTTTTAATTCATGAACTTTGAAATATTCTTGTTAAGCCACATCTTCTTATCTTTATTTGAGCATAGTATAAATTGATTATTTTAATGAAAGAGCACAATACTAGCAGAGAAGAGAGGAGTTACTAAGATAGTTTATAGTTTCACTTTACCCTCTAATAGAAGTTAGAGAGAAAGCCAGTGTTATGACAGAAAGACCATAGACTTTACAGATAGAACCATGTTTAAGTCAACTCTCAACTCAGTAAAGAGAACCACTAACACTAGGTGGGAAGGCTTTGGAGGAGTTGACTCCTCTAGCCTTTGAAGGCTAAAAACTGAGGAAGGGCATTTCTTGCAAAAAGAATGGTTGGCAGGCTGCATTCTCTCAGTTAATCTTTCTGCTGCTTCATGTGTTCTGCACCTCTGCCATTTGTCTCCACACTCCGTTTATTCATATAACTCCTCAGCCTTTTCTAATCAGTTCTTCCCTTAAATATTTTGACTTGTTCTACCACCTTCTTTCCCCTTTCTGGGACTGTTCAGAGCACTGATGATGGAACCTCAGAATAGGGGGGCAGAGTGTGAAAATGCTAAGAACAAAACACCAAGTTGAGAAGTGGTTCTGGAAATGTTTGATGGTGATGGTTAACAATTAAATATATGTACTAAATGCCACTGAACTGTATGTTTAAAAATGGTCAAATGTTAAATCTTATGTTATGTATATTTTACCACAATTAAAAAGAAAACTTAAGTTGAGGAAGATGGAAAACATTGTGCAGAGGAAAACTTGTCCTGAGTTTTCCTCTGCACAAAACATATGGCTGATTTTTTAATATGAGTCTTGGAGCAGAACAGCATTCTCTTTTTAGATAAAATTCAGTGTGCTACAGAGGAAGTTTAAATCAATAAAAAAATAATAAACCATCACATGGATCAATCCTAATTCATTGTGTACTTAAATATTCCTTTCTCAATGATGCCTGGGAAAAGCAAACTAAAGAAACTCTTTCACCTGATATGTGAAGAAGAAAAATAAAATTAAGAACATTATACATTAGACTCTTGCTGAATCCTGTTATACTATGTTATTGGATACTGTGTTGCCTTGGCTAGTTGATTTATAACCTTTAAAAAGCTTTATATTCTATAATAGTTGTAGTTGATTTTCAAACTTTTTAACAGCAAAAACTTTACTTTTTTTTCAAACTAAGTTTATGCAGAACTTTAGTACATAAAACAGATAATTCAAAAAGCATAGTTGGGTCGGAAGAAATCAGAAGTGGGAGAGCCCTGCACCCTTAGCCTTTCTTCAGTGTCCTAGTCAGCCTGGAGTCACTACTGGAAAGTTAAAACCAGTAAAAAGCCACTGCTGGATAAGCAGATAAAGGACTTATATAGCTTTAATAAGCTTATGGTCATTCATGGGCTCTTAGCATTATTATTCCCATTATGTCATTTCCATGAGAAACTCAGCTTTAATGTATTTCACCTTAGAGCGCCTTTTCTAAGATTGTAACCTAATCTAAAAGAGAGATGTGCCTGTGATCAGTTGTTAAAATCACAGTGGCTTTGGTTGGCTATAGGATAGGTCAAAGCCCTAAGGTTCTCTTGAAAGTATATTATTTGAAATATGTCAACAGTGATTTAGTCTTTTCTATTTAATTTCATCCATTTTAGGTTCTAAAAATAGTTTTCCTTTGGAAAAATATTACTATTTATCTAACACTGGCTTTCACATTGATTGTCTTTAAACGAAGGCTTTCTTGAAGAGACTTGAAGCCGTGAAACCAACAGTTGGCATGAAACGCTCAGATCAGCTAATGGACTATCATCGCAACATGGGTTATCTCAACTCATCACCATCCTTAAGACGAGCAAAATCGACTCTCAGCCAGTATAGCTCATTAAGTAAGCATATTCACAATTATTTTGCACTTATTTGTATCTTTTTTTCTTACGATAGAGGGAAAGAGAGAGAAACAAAGATTTGTTGTTTCACTTATTTATGCATTCATTGGTTAATGCTTGTATGTGCCCTGAGTGGGCATCAAACCTGCAACCTTGGCATATCAGGACAATGCTCTAACCACCTGAGCTACCTGGCCAGGACATGATAAATGCCTTCTTCTGAAATGCATTTTATGATTTTTCACTGGCATGCTTTGTTTTAGTTCACTTAATTTCAGGTTTCATTTCTAGCAGATAATGGCAGTATAGGAAGGAAACCAGGAAAGAAAAAAAAAGTTGAAAATATCAGTATTTTTCTTAGATAATGGAAGAGAGACTTTTAACTTCAATATATATATTCATTTCTTCCTCTAATATATATATATATATGTTTCTGGCTCTCTCTCTCCCTTCTTCTCTGTAAAAAAAAAAAAAAAAAAAAAAATCAATAAAAAATAAAATAAAAAAATAAAAACAGTCTGCCCCGACTGTGTGGCTTAGTTCCATATACCAAAAGGTTGCAGGCTCAATCCCCCCAGTCATGGTTGATATAGGAGGCAAATGATCGATGATTCTCTCTCTCCTCCTCCTCCCTCTCAAATTAATAATCATATCCTCAGGATCAAGACAGAGAGAGAGAGAGAGGAGAATTTAGTCTGAACTTAAAATTAGGAAAGGAAGTCTATCAGATAGTGATTTATGTGTTTTATTTAATTCAGATCATTTCTTATTTTTTGTGTATTTTCAGGAGGCGCTTCCAGGACATCTAGTGCTACGAGTGCTCTCAGCTGTAAGAGTGAGGGAGCAGTTTTTGACAAAGCCAGTGGCCTGTTGCTAAGACCTAAGCCCCCTAATGTTCGTACAGCTTGGTTATAAAATTTTTTACTTTAAACATTGTTCATCCAACTCTTATTGAAGTGCTCTTGTACATTACTGTAATTCTTTTTGTAAACATCTTTAATTGTTTTAAGAATTTTAAGTTGTACAAAAGCAAGTTGTAATTTATTGTACTCAATGCAAAATTGTTATCAACAAAGGTAATGTAATGTAAAGTCAGTGTTTCCTATGAGAGTGTATTTATATGAGATGTATATGAATTAGATAAATGCATGTATATTGTCTCAGCAGAGAGACCGATTCAGTGCTCATGCTGATCAAACAGTTGTATTACTGCACGTTGGCACTGAGATGTTAACTATATACATCTCATTTTATTTTTATTTTCACTTCTTATAAGCTTGAAACCATGAACATTACTCCTAAACTTGACTGGCTTTATTTTCTGTTTGCTTTAGAATTAAGGTGGTCTGACTCATAACTTAATTGTAACACTTTCTTATTAATGAAACAAATCTTGCAATTTGTTTTCATTGGTGGACCTAATTTACTGGGGCAGTCCCTACAATTCGCCAGAGGTATCTCCTGCTTTTGTGTAACTGTGCTGAGCTATATCTTAACATTTCATCAACCATTCCAAACCATTTCAAACTGTGAGTGTTAGGAAGTTCCACTTAGAAGCTCCCCTTCACTGTTTTTGTACATTCAGGTAAAGTACTATTTATTAATGATACTGAAAAATAAGGTGGGCTTTCAAGATACAGTCTACTTACATTGTGAATAGTTTGTCCAAAGACCAGATCATCGTAAGCAAAATAGCACCAATCTCAAGAAGTAGATCTCAATTGTATCAGAACAGTGTTTCAAATGATACTGTTAACAAGCTGTGTTACATTTAGTATTTATTATATTAAGAGAAGAGACAAGAAAAGAAAGAAATGCATTGTTTCACAGCTTTCAAACTTCCAGGTAGTGATTTTAAGGTTTGAAAAAGAGAACTAAAATATAAATGATAAAGTGATTGGGGGAAGAATCACATATTTATTTATTGAGACTATATGTCTGCTAATTTACTTTTGTTTCAATCTGTAGGCTCTTTTTTAAATTTATGTTTATTTTTTTTCAATCTGTAAACTCTTAAAGTATATCTCAGTCATGGTTGTGCCTGCTGTTCTAGTTATCATTGTCTTTCATTACTGGCCTCTTTAGTTTGTCTTTAGAATGTTGGAAAATTTCCATATTAAATGCCAAACCTTTCTTTTTCTAATACGCATTTGTGATCTGTAACCACAATAAGAATATTTGTATTTTCCTGGGTTAACTCAGGCTCTGTAGCATGTATGCAGAAAGCCAAACTGCATTTTACTGAACATCAATTCAGAATTTCTTGGTCTTAGTTTATGTTCATCAATTTTGTTTAAGGTAGGGCATGTGAAACGTGGGTATGTTCATCGATTTTGTTTAAGGTAGGGCATGTGAAACGTGGGAACAATAGGGCTAAAATAATTAATGTGAGCACAGCCTGACTGTCAGATTGTTCTGTTTCTTTCTTTGGGCTACCTTGTTCCTTCACTGTTATTTGATGCTCTGTTCTGGTGACAGGTTTTTACGTCACTTGGTACTATTTCACATAAAATTTAGCTAAATTAATGCCTTTATTTGTACTGCTTTGACAGAGAGGTGCATCTAAATATAACTGATATCAGGGATTCAACGTGGAGTAAAAGTCAGGAAGAACAACAATATTCGTTTTTTTAACACAACTTATAATTCTGTTGTCATGATTACTTATATATGATAAGTGTAAATAGAAGGCTAGGAATTGAGAAATGTGATATTCTTCAAGGTACTTTGAAGTTTTGGTTTAAGAGACATTTTTTATGAAGGGCCCGTAATAACTATTCATTTTCAAGAAGTGAAGAATCATCTAGCACTACTTTATATATGGTTCACTTGTACCTTGCTGTTTATCTTTGAAGATTTACTTCTGCAAAATTATACTAACCCTAGGTCTAAATTATTAGGCAAGGTTCTTATTGAGTGTAATTTTCTTATCTGTCAAATGCTAAACTAATATTGCCTCTTTTTCATAAGATTCTGTGAAAGATTTTGAACTATTAAAATTATTTCCTAAGGAATAGTTAATATCTTGGGCTTTTCCCTACTTCCTTTTTTCACTGTCCATTAAAAGCCACTTTCTTAGCTACTACTACAAATAAAATGTTCTGTTTTTAAACCTAGTGTAATGCAGTTGTTTTCAACCATTAACCCAAATGTCCAAAATGGTTATGTAGACAACTTTAAAAAAAGGTCATTGTGAGGGATATGAAAGCGTGTGTCCCATCTTCAGACTCAAGTACTGCACACTGTGAAAAGTATTATGACCAATATAATACTGAATATACAAGTTTAATTGTTATATTTTGATAATTCAATTCATAAAATGTTTAATATCTTAAATGCCAAAGTCTTTACCTATAAATGATTGTATACCATCCTAGAAAATGTGCTTAATGATAATGACTTTATTTTCATGCATAAAGGTCAGTAAGAAGTTGAAAAATCAATATCCTTTTAAAAATTTTCCATCCATTGTAATGTATTTTGGTCATGAAGAACTAGCTTGGCATAGTGAAGAAAGAAATAAAAGAAAGATAACTGAGTTTTGATCCTGCATCTTTCTCTCAATTGCCTGGTCTTGTTCCTATTTGAAAAACTAGAATAATAATTTTTAGGTGCCACACAAAACTAAGAATTAATGAGAATGAAGTTGGGAGAAGGGTATTCATTATAAACTTTTCAGAGTTGACTTAAAATTCTGTTCTTGATCAATACTTTCTTTAAACCACATTATCAAATTTATTTTGTAAAATTGTTACAATGCTATATTGGACACACATAGAATGACTGCAAGGCCAAACTAGTCCCAGTTTACTCTTACTGCTAGGGTATCACCCTTTGGGCAACTAATCCAAAACAAGTATATCAGGGCTCCCTTCCTTGGCAAGGATTTGTTCTTGTCTCTCTCTCCCTAGGAGGCTTCCAAACTCTCCAGCCCCTCAACATTTCAGCTGAATTTTTGATGATTTGCAGGTTCCAAGTGGGGAAAAGTATCCGATGAGGAAACATGTCAGACTTACTTCCAAATGTTGGCCCCATAATTTTCCATGCCTTGTTAGCTCCTCGGTGTCTTTATGCTGATTTTTATTTTAAACCAGTGGTTCGGTGCACAAAATTCAGCTCAGTCTGCACCCTCTCCAATCGGGGACCCCTTGAGGGATGTCCGACTGCCAGTTTAGGACATCCATTGGACTGCTGGCTCCTAGCCACTCACCTGCCTGCCTGCTTGATCACCCCTAACTGCCTGCCCCTGTTGGTCTGATCTCGCCCCCAACTGCCCTCTCTGCCTCAGTCCCCACCACGATGGCTTTGTCCGGAAGGAATTTGGAAACTGGAAGATGGCCAGTCCACATGGTCTAATTAGCATATTACGCTTTTATTAGTATAAATAGTTGAGACTCTTTTCTAGTTGTGAGAGGGTGCATGATTTGCAACACCTGGTCTACAATACGGAAATCTTTTATAAACCATAAATACATTTTAAAAAGGTAATTCTCAAATCTTCATTGTAAATAAGTGTATTAATCTTGAACCTGGATTTGGGCAGCCATCAAATGAAGCAGCCCCATTTCCTCTAAGAGATACCTACTAGATTCGTATAGATGTGACCTTGGATGTGGTAAAGCATAGAACAAGAGAGCCAATTCCTTATTGGGGATCAGGACTGATAAGGGTAATAAGCGCTTGGGAAGAAAGATAAGGAAGGAAAAGAAAGTACAGAGGCACCATACCCCTCAAAGCATCTATCGGGGGAAATAAAAGGTGTATGCCCACCTCTGAGGCTTTGCCTAGATTCCAGGAGCTTGTTTCCTCCCAGCAACTCCACAAGCTGGAGCTGGATGAACTGTCTTCTGGACCACAGTGCCTCATCTCCCACTTGAAACAGTAGCTCTTTTCTTCCTCAGAAATTTATGAGTCACATCCAAAGCTGACTTTTTCTGCTAGGTCTTGCTACATTGTTACGGAGAAGTGCAAGCAGGAATGTTCTGTGCGCATGCATCTAATGACAGGCAGGTGCTTTCGGAGCTGAGCCATGTATCTAAATTGAGTCACTTTCTTCAAGGTCCGCCTCCTCCTCCCACATGTCAGCTCCCCCTTCCACTCAACCAAGATTCACCCTATTAAACATGACATTACGTAACGCCATTTCCTCGCTCCCGTCCCGTTTCGGCTTCTTCCAGGATGGGTTCTGGTCTTCCTGTATCGCCCGCAGAACCTAATCATTCAACACTGGCATGCTAGATGCTGTGCAATGAACAGTGCCCGCTTACAGTAGTCTGCCTCACAGTTCTCTAGCGGCACTGATGCAAAGCACTTCCTACTCATGCGGAACTCTTGAAACTTTGTCCTGAAGCTCTTGGAGGAACCTCAGAATTCCCGGCCTGAGTGAATGTGCATAAAATCAGGTCAGATTATGGAAGCCCTGACCGGTGTCACCGCTTTGGAGCCTATAGCGCGTGGTGTGAGGTCAGAGTGCATCACCTGTTCCTGTTTGGAAACCAGAACTCTAAGCATTGTAGGTCTGTACATGTAAATAGTATAGTATTTGGCATTTAAAAACTGGGCACTGATTTATTAGTGAGTAGCAAATAGCTACTAGCTAGCAAATAGGCACTTACGGTCTTATTTTTTATAGTATTTTTTTTAAATATTGATTTTTTACAGAGAGGAAGGGAAAGGGATAGTTAGAAACATCGATGAGATAGAAACATCGATCAGCTGCCTTCTGCACACTCCCTACTGGGGATGTAGCCGCAACCAAGGTACATAACCTTGACCAGAATCGAACCTGGGACCCTTCAGTCCGCAGGCCGAGGCTCTATCCACTGAGCCAAACCTTTTAGGGCTTGTCTTATTTTTTAATCCACTTGGCAGTTAATAAGAATTCAATAGAGAAGGTGCATTAAGTGGTCTTTATTGGTTTCACATTCAGTTATTATCAGCTCCTCAGTTAATTATACAAGTATGATATGATATTTTATATTTTATGAGGGAATTTCCATGTAAAATAAATACAAAATACATTTGTGGTTTAATGAACACTCAGTGAAGCCACTATCTTTCCTGAGGTATTCCTTCCAGTCTGGTTTTATCCCAGATCTCTCCTTTTCCTTCCCCTAGGAAGAGTCTATGAAACCACACAAACAGGTCTGGAAGCAGTGAGTTTGCTTTAATGACATTAGACAATTTTCTTGATCTCATCATACAACACCAACACGAAGGCACCGCCCATGCCTCTCAGTACATTGGACCAGGCACCTTTGAAGAAAGCCTTGGCTCCCTCGTCTTTGGCAATCTTCCTCCAGCAGTCCAGTGTCCCCGTGTACATGATGTCAGCTGTGGAAACAAATGCTGGTCAGGGCTTCATGTTCTGGAGGAAAGAGACTTTTTCCCCGAGAGACCTCTGCACAGTGTCACTGCTCCAACTCCCAGCCCTACACTGTATTCAACTAGACATCCCTTTCCTGCAAAACTGCTAGGCTCTCTTGTCATTCCTGCTCCTTTAGTTTGAGAACCGTGGCAATTAACCAGCTAACTCAGCCCATCACACTGTTAAATGGAAGCTAAACTGGGTAGTGCCCTTTTTATGGGTGAGAAAAATAAGGCCTAGTCTCAGGATATACTAGTCCAAGATAACACAGTTAAAAGAGCCACAACTAGTAGGTTGAACCAAATGAAACTACAATGACTTTTTTTTTTTTTTTTAATGTTAAAAATGGCAATTTCATTCATTTCAAACTCTGGGAGTTAAGACTTTATCGCAGCAGGCTGCTGGAGGCTGTCCCTCGTCCACGAAGGCCCCCTTCCCTGCCTGTCAGAAGGAGGTTAGAGGAGAATAATTGTTACATAAACCAGCTGATTACTTCAATCCTCTCCCTTGTTTCTGCACCCAGGTTCTATGGCTGCAATTTTCCATCTTTTTCATCTCACGGCACACATAAATTATATTTTTGTCATGCCAAAAATATGTATTTTGCCAATCTGACAAAATTGATTCATTCACCCCGGATAGCTACTGTATTGGCTGTTGTCTTTTTTTTTTTTGACTACCTAAGGGAAAAGAAGTTAGTGTCCATGACTAAATAATCAGCTTTTGCATGTTTTAAAAATTCTTGTGGATAAACAGAATAAACTGACCAACAAAATAAGACGGGAAGCAAGGAAGCACAGACCGACATACCTCAATGTGGGGTTGATCTCATCATACAACACAAACACAGTGAGATAAACCAAGGAACTTATGTACTTATATGCACTGCCCATGGACACGGGCAATAGGGTGGTGAAGACCTGGCAGTGTGGTAAGGGGGAGGGGAGGATGGGAAATACCTATAATAGTACCAACAATAAAAAAAGTATTTAAAAAAATTACTGTGGCTCCCGGGTTGAAAATCACTGCTCTAAGAAAAAGCCTCTATCATGCTAGATACCTAGTTAAATCCACCTCTAAATATCCACTTGTTATGTCCTTATCTATATGATAACAAAGTTCTCTAGAGAAATAGTTGAGAAGCTTGCTTTCCTTAACAACTGGAATGGTGAAGACTGAAAACAGTACCAGTGTTCTCCCAGGGCAGGGAAACTCTGTGTTAAGTCAGTAGGGGGCAGGCTTACCCCCCTTCCGGCCAGACTGCATCATCATCCTACGGCGGACCGTGTCAAAGGGGTAGGACACCAGCCCCGCCACCGCCGTCACCGACTGGGCGATCATCCAGCTGACAAAGATGTGCACGTTCTTGGGGTCCGGCAGCATCCCTGCGGGCAGAGCCAGAAGCCAAACGGTGATGAAGGATCCCTCTTAGCAGCTCCACAAAAAGCAGGTGGGGCTGGGAAGAGGCTGGGAACTTCCAGCCCCAGCACCTCCCCCCCTCCACTTCCAGCAGAACTGGCTACTCTGGCTGGACCTAGGCCAGCAGCGTACAGGCCAGGCTGAAGCGGTCCAGGTTACCCTCAGTAACCGGCAGGGCCATGGGAAGAGGGGCCAGGCCTGCCCTTCCTCTCAATAGCCCCAGACAAGGTCAAGGAGAATCCTCTAGCTCTATGGCCTCCCTTCACCACCGCCTCCTTCCAAAGCCTCATGTCAGCCCAGAGACCAGGAAAAAAACACACACAGGATTAATACACAGAAAGCCCTTTGTGAGCGACAGATCCCTCAGGGTCCTGTCTGCAGCTCCTCCCCCTCCTCCCCAGGCCACACCCCCGGCCCCCCTTCCCCCAACCCTCCTCTCACCCTTGGCGGTATCATAGACTCCGAAGTAGGCGGCTCTGTAGATGATGATGCCCTGGACAGAGACGCTGAAGCCCTGATAGAGGCCCCCGAGGCCATCGGACTTGAAGATCTTGGTGAGACAGTCGCCCAGGCCGCTGAACTCCCGCTGGGCGCTCCCCTTGCCCACGTCGGCGGCCAGCCGGGTCCTGGCGAAGTCCAGCGGGTAGACGAAGCAGAGGGAGGTGGCCCCGGCCGCCCCGCCGGACGCCAGGTTGCCGGCGAAGTAGCGCCAGAACTGCTTGTGGCGGTCCACGCCGCCCAGGAAGATCTGCTTGTACTTGTCCTTGAAGGCGAAGTTGAGCGCTTGCGTGGGGAAGTAGCGGATCACGTTGGCCAGGTTGCCCCGCCAGAAGGAGAGGAAGCCCTGCTCCTTGGGGATCCTCACCACGCAATCCATGATCCCCTTGTATTGCTGCTCGGCGCTGATCTGTTTGCTGGCATGCTGGACCTGCAGGGGGCGGGCGCGGGGGAGGAGGGGGGCGTGAGGAGGGGCAGGGCAGAGGGAGGAGGAGAACAGGGCGAGAGAAAAAAAGAAACATTGGCACGTCCCCGGTTTGCTTTTTAATAATAATTTTTAAAAAAAAATGTCTGGGGAGCCGAAGCCGGTTTGGCTCAGTGGTTTGCGGACTGAAAGGTCCCGGGTTCGATTCCGGTCAAGGGCATGTACATTGGTTGCGGGCACATCCCCGGTGGGGGGTGTGCAAGACACAGCTGGTTGATGTTTCTCTCTCATCGACGTTTCTAGCTCTCTAGCTCTCTCCCTTGCTCTCTGTAAAAAACTCAATAAAATATATTTTTTTAAAAAATGTCTGGGGAAATCAAACAAATGGGGTAAATGAATGGTAGGCGCCTCCTTGGCTCACAAGCCCCCAAACCCAATGGTGCCTCCATTACCAGGGCCCGTGAGAGAAAATGCTCTGCCCCACGTAGATGGAGAAGAGGACGGAACTGTGTGCGGGGTGGTTTGTGGGCAGCATTCTCCTTGGTGCCAGAACTGTGCGAGGGACTTACTGGGACAGAGAGAGGATGGGAGACCCCCTCCGCCTCCGCCACCCCAGAGGGCACCATAGACATGCTGAGCAGGAGGTGAGGGCTCCCCGGTGGCCATCCAGTCTCCCTGGAGACCAGGATCTCTGAGGAGCTGCTGGTCTAACAGAAAGAGGAGAAACCCACTGGGCACTAGACGGAGCCTGGAAATGGTCAGGCACGTTATTATCCAAGTGACTGATGGTTGAGGCGCCTATTGCGGTGGTGAGCCAATGCTGGGGGTTCTTGTGAAGGTTTTTGACTCCCACATGGAAGAGGCCCGGATTCCTCAATGACAGGCCCGTGTCCTTGGGACACGAGAGAAAAAGAGGACGGATTGGAGGGTGGTGGTGATGACAGGGATGATGACGATGGGATGCCATTCAGTGGCCAGGCTGGAGTGGAAACGATCTGGGAAAGGACGAGTAAGGTCGGCCATCCGAGTTTATTAAAAAAAAAAAAATAAAAAAAAAAATGCTTAATCCCTCAAAACCTGTGTCTTCAAACGGGGAAAGCTGCAGGAGACAATAGCTGCCCTTGCAGGGGTTACATAAACATGAATGAAACACGTATGTCATCCTCTAGCCTAGTGCGCGGGATCCACAGTAAGCAGCTCCTCTGGAATAATGAAGGTTTTTATTGCAAAAGGCGGGTGGTGCCGGTGAAAAGGCGCAGCAAGCAAGGAGACATTGAAAATCCAAAGGTGAGTGCGACCTAGGAGGCCTGAGTGCGTGCCAGGGCTGGCCCGGGCGCAGGATCTGGCTGGCTGAGACCCACCGGGGTGGGTTTCCATATATAGACACCGGGCCGCCGCGCGCCACCCGACACCAGGCATCTGCGCAGGGGGCACCTTCCCCTTGGCGGGCCGGCCGGGCCCAGGGCCTGGGGCCTAGCGCAGGTTTGCTGCAGCCCATCCGGCTCCCGATCCCCGATCCCCGATCCCCGACCCCGATCCCCGCGCCGCTGCGCCCCGCGCGCCCTGCCCGCCGCGCCCCCGCTGCGCCCCCGCCGCGCCCGCGCCCGCCCCGCGCCCTCCGCACCTGCAGCAGCAGCTTGACCCTCTCGATGGGGGCGACCGCGGTCTTGGAGACGGCGGCGGCGATGCCACCCGCCAGGAAGTCCTTGAGGAAGCTCAGGGCCTGGTCACTCATGATGCCGCCGGGAGCCGCGCTCTAGCTCTCGCCTCCGCTTCCGCCGGGCCAGGCACGGCCACCCCGTCTCCGTCCCTGCGCGTCGCGAAGGGGCCGCCCGCCTCGCCCCGCATCCCTCCTTATATCCCCCGCCCGGCCTCTCGCGAGAGGAGGAGGGCCCGGCGGCCGGGCGCACGGAGCGCATTGGCTGGGCAGGTGCCTGCAGCCCGGGCCGCCCGCTGCCGCAGAGGGCAAAGGGGGCGAAGGCGGTTCCGGGCGGGGGGCTGAGCCTGCGGCCGGGGACGTTTAAAGGGCACAGCCGTGCTCCCTCCCCTGCCCGTTCCCTGTCCCGCGGCCGGAGGAGGAGGAGGAGGAGGAGGAGGAGGAGGAGGAGGAGGAGGAGGAGGAGGAGGAGGAAGAGGAAGAAGAGCAGGAGGAGAAGGAGGAGGAGGACCAGGAGGAGGAGGACCAGGAGGAGAAGGAGGAGGAGGAGGAGGAGGAGGAGGAGGAGGAGGAGGAGGAGGGAACACGGTGTCTCGGGCGCGGGGGGGGGCCGCTGTATTTATAGCTCAGGCCGGGCCGGCTGGGGACGGATGGGTGCCTGCAGCCCGGGCCTGCACGGGCCGCTCCCGGGCAGGCCGTTTCAGGCTCATTTTTTCCTTCTTCTTCCCCCCGGAATGGTGTCCCTGACTGCCTGGACCTGGGCCTCTCCGGAGGTGTGTGCGCTCTCATAAATGGCCAACATCCTCCAAAATAAATAGGAACGTCACCCGATGCGGTGATTGCCCAACACAGTCTGGCAACCTGCTGGGCCCCCTCTCTCCCCATTCAGCGGTTCCACCATTCATTCTGCTTTCAAACACTCCTGTGCGGCATCAGGGGAGAGTCATTTTAAGTGTGTGTGTGTGTGTGTGTGTGTGTGGTGTGTGTGGTGTTGTATGTGTATGTGGTGTGTGTGTGTGTGTGTGTTTGGTGTGTGAGGGTGTGTGTGTGTGTGTGTTGCTTTTCTCTTAGGTCAGCCTGTTACCCCTGACAGCCTGATGACACTAAGAGAGGGACCCCATAGGACACTCTGCTCTCAGTGCAATCTCAGCACATATTCTGGGGGGAGCGGCCTCGGGCAGCTGGCTGCTTCCCCCCAGCGTAGCTGGGTGACCCGGATAGGAAGAGAAGGTCGAATCCTTGGCCCTACCTGCCTCCTTTAGCAGGCGCCTGGGCTTGGGAAGACTTATGCTATCTAGTCCTAGGAAACTGGTTGCATTAGCGCCCCCCCCCCCAAATATATTCCTGTGAGCTTTGATCCTTATTGTTTTCCAGGCATTTCATATCATCACACAGGTTTGCGAAAACAGCTGTTCCTTCCCCTGGGATGATTGCAATTCGTTTTTAACTCGAAACTCTTTACCATGCCAATCCTTTTCCCACGGGTGTTCCTGTTCTTTCGTACATTGACAAATTTATTCTTTTCTTTTTTTCCACGAACTTGCTGATGTATGCAGACCTCAGGTTGGGTGTCGATTGAGCTGCAGCTGGGTGTCACCCGGGGTCTGGACACTTCAGTGGGGCAGAGGTCACTGGTTGGGCGCCAGGACTGCAGAGGAGATGCGTTTCTCTGACGTCGGGGCAGGCTAGAGTTCGGAAATGCAGGTGAGCTGTGTGGACGTTAACAAAGGGCAAATATACCAAGATCATAGCAGGCAGAAGGTCAGGAATTCGAGATAAGCAGAAAAGCCCTCTATGCATTCATTCAACAAACACTTGAGCTACTGAGTTCCAGGAACGGAGTTTGGCCCTGTGGATTCAAAATGATATATCTCCATCCTCAAGAACCTTACAGTCAGCCCTAGCCGATTTGGCTCAGTGGATAGAGCATCAGCCTGAGGACTGAAGAGTCTCAGGTTTGATTCTGGTCAAGGGCACATGCCCAGTTTCGGGCTTGATTCCCAGTAGGAGCTGTGCAAGAGGCAGCAGATCAACAATCCTCATCATTGATGTTCTGTCTTCCTCTCCCTCTCCCTTCCTCTCTGATATCAATAATAATATATTTAAGGGGGGGAAAAGAACCTTACATTCAGCAGGTGACCTATTTGTCACTTGTTTAACTTTATTTACCCACAGCTTCACATATAGATTTCCACAGATCACCACAATCCACATATTAATCATTTCTTTTTGTAAGGATGTACTGTATTCCATCCTGTTAACATAGAGTAATTGCTTAATTCATTTTCCTTCAATCGTACATTACAAGTTTCTTAGGTGTATGATGAAAAATAGTGCTGGTATATAAAACTTCTGCACAAATTCTACTTTCTCCCTTCAGTTTTTTTCTTCTCATGTATCCCCAAAATGGAAAAGATAGATTGAACATTTAAAAAGTTTTGTGTGGTCAAAACCGGTTTGGCTCAGTGGATAGAGTGTCAGCCTGCGGACTGAAGGGTCCCGGGTTTGATTCCAGACAAAGGCATGTACCTTGGTTGTGGGCACATCTCCAGTAGGGGGCATGCTAGAGGCAGCTGATCAATGACTTTCTCATCCATGTTTCTAACTCTCTATTTCTCTCCCTTCCTCTCTATAAAAAAATCAATAAAATATATATATATTTAAAAAAATAATCTTTTAGTTATCTGTGTTTTATGAGTTCTCATTGGTGCCTCTTTGATTGATATGAAATGACACATGTTCATATAATTCAATTTAATTGGTCAGGGTTTTCCTTCTACATAAATGCCCCTTATGGCAGGAAAGCCGAGTACTTCTTCATGTTCACAACAATGTTTCATACATCAAGGCCAGTTAATACATGTTGAGTATTTTTCGTTTTGTTTTCTTTTGATATTTATTCTATTACATTGTTCTAAGTGTTATTTATTTAAATATGAGCAGATCCCTAATACGATGGTATGCTTCATGTTTCGGTGGAAATGTATCTCTTTTGTAGATATATTTGTCTATTTGCCCTACTAGGTAGTCTATTCCAATTCTCTTGGTATTTATTTATTTACTTATTTTAATCCTCACCCAAGGATTAAAATAAGTCCTTACTAATCCTTACATGCTTACTAATTTTAGAGAGGGGAAAGGAGAGAGAGAGAGAAACATTGATGTGAGAGAGAAGGATCAACCAGTTGCCTTCTGTACTAGCTCTGGGCATGTGCCCTTACCAGGAATTGAACCCACATTCTTTAGGGTGGTCATTATTTGTTTTTTAAATCTAACACTACATTATATATTATAAAAAGGTACGATCTAATTTCATTTTTCTCCATAACCATTCTCGGGTATCCCAACATGAATTCTTAAGTAGATAGTTTCTTTTCTTCATTATTTGTCTTATATTACTATTTCTAGTATTAATTTTATGAATTCATTTCTTATAATAGCTTTAATTTATGAAATCATTATACTATGAGTTATTTGATTACTGAACTTTAAAAAAACAACAATTTATATATGGTAATACAACCACTTCAAACTCGAAAAATTTTATCTGCTTACATGCCTGGATTTACTTTCACTGTCAATTTGTTCAATTATTTAAACATCACCAGAAGACTTTAACAGACATTTAAATTAAATTAAATACTGAGTTAATATTTAATGTGGGGTGTTAATGTTTAATTCAGGAAATGTCATCTTTGTCTTAATGTTGCTGATTTTTCATACTTTCTAAATGAGAAGTATCGTGTTTCTCCCTGGCTTCTGTCCAATGGCCCTGCTATGCCGGAGGAACGGTAGCCAGCCTCCTTGACAAGAGGTTACCCGTGGAGACTCATACTGACCTCTCCCTCCATTGACTTTCTCAGAAAAGGGAGACCTGGCATGCCCCGGGAGCATGAGCTGCCTGTGATCATAAGATCCAGGTATCGCTTACACAGGCGGCGAGAGAATGGCACTCAGCAGAACATGTGTCCGTCCGCCAGGCTCAATGCCCGGTGGCTTCCTGCCAAGGAGAGAGTGGACAGGCCGCTGGGAGATGAGAGAGGAAGCTCTGCTTTCAGATGTAGCTCGGTCTCCTGGAGCCTGGGGTAAGGGGGAGCATGGCTGTGCAGGAAGGAGCGATGGTGCTGAGCTAGCCTTTGGAATTTCAGTGGGAGCTTGTAAAGAATTACTCTATGTTACTGAATTGGGACCAGAGAATGGGAGCTGCTCATGAGCCAAAGGCAAAGGAAGAAAAGCACTCAAGGATTTGCTGACGGTGGTGACTGCAGAATGCCTGTCTGTGGGTGACTATCTAAATACTGTAGGAACTTGAGCACACCATAACTGTTTGATCACATGTGAATTTCAGCTTAGCAGAGAGGAAAGAATTCTGTAAATTTTTTTTAAAAAAATATATTTTATTGATTTTGCACAGAGAGGAAGGGAGAGAGATAGAGAGTTAGAAACATCGATGAGAGTCATCGATCAGCCGCCTCTTGCACACCCCCTACTGGGGATATGCCCACAACCAAGGTACATGCCCTTGACCGGAATCGAAACCGGGACCCTTCAGTCCCCAAGCCGACGCTCTATCCACTGAGCCAAACTGGTCCTGGCAGAATTCTGTAAAATTTTTTTGATCATATAGGATCACATATGAATTGCTGAATTTTAATCAAAGGTGATTCATGATAGATCCTCCCTTCCCCCAACTGATGGACAGAGTATGACGTCACCTGCACCTGCGGCCTGGACGTTCCTGAGCACCTAACCAGGCACCTTATATGGACTGTACATCGAACCACCAATCAGCACCTGCCAAATACCCTAAGCCCCCGATTCCTAAGTCCCTAAGTGCCTAATCATGTGCCTTATAGGAAAGCTCCAATCAGTGCGTGCCGAGAACCCTAAGCCCCATCCGTTCTCTTCCCCATCAGAATAGAAACTATCTGAATAATGGACATCATTCATTCACTCATTCATTCATTCTTTTCCTTTTCATCTTTCAGCTCTCATTTTGAATGCCTTCCCTGGGCACCAACACTCTGTGGGGTACTGCTGATGCCAAAGTCAGGAAGGCAAGACTGCAGCCCTGGAGG